AAAACTGAGCAAATCAAAGGATCACAATCAGAATCAGAAACAGTCAGTGCACAACGAAGCAGAGTACGTCGAATCAGAGCAAATCGAATGAGAGAAAACGGAAATAAAATAAGACCATTTTCGGTATACACCTTCCCTTTAAAAGGAGCGTGCCACCACTGTCGCATGTTTGGAAAACATACTCTGGTAAAACTTAAGGTCCACCTACATATCGTAACAGCGCTGGTGAGTGCCACTGCAGCCCCCACAGGGTAAAATAAACGAATTAGATATCATTATTTTTCAGCCCAAAATTAGGTGGTCAACGTTTCAGCACAGCACTATACTTCTTTCTTCAAGCTGATCTCGCTCAAAATTGATATGCATCTCAGCGTAATAACGAAAAAGCGGACAACACTATTTCAACGCCATCCATCCAGCCAGACTCAGGAAACGCTGAACCGACTCCCTCCAAATCAACACCAATCGAAAGGGGAAATGAGGTGATGACGGCGAAGCGGTGCTGTCTGTCGTACGCAGACCAGCCCGCACGCGGCTCACCCTGGACAAACGGGACGCGACGCGCATTCAGGATGTGTGAATAGCGGGAAAAGGACTCATGTTACTTGGCAAACTTGCTTGAATGCAACTGCTTGAAATCTGCAAATTTGAAACCCTTCATTTGGACCAAGTCGCCAAAAAAAGTTCTTTTAAAAGCAGACACGCAATTAGATAGGTTTAGCTCGAACACTTTCAGTGTAGCGTGCAAAACCCACTTCAATGATAGTCATCCCACCAGTTCAGCACAATGAATTTCGGGGCAGTGATCACGCCGCATGGCGTGCACGGCCACCCCGTGCAGGAGGACAGAATTCACCGTGAAACTAGCATAGCAGGTAGTTCTCTGGACGCTCTCATCTTGCCAGTGAGAATTGTTGCTGCAAAATATCATGTAGTAATGAAATGATCCTTTAACTTGAAGTCTAACTATCCTGGAATTCAGAAACACCATTTACTTCTAGCATTGCTTGAAATACTTAAACACGCGCTCGGGCAGGACGTCAAATTGACCCCCTCCCCCGAAAGTTTTCCAGGAATAATTCCCGAACGATGCGGCGTAGCTGCACCAAACTTTGCATAGCTGTAGACAATGGAATAGAAAATCGTCTGACATGAAACAATTACATAAAAAAATTAGAAATTTAGATGCACCTTGCAATGTTGCTAGCCTATGGCAGGTCAAAGTCAGGCCATGGTTTTGGCGAAGGCAATTTCTAGGGAATCGTTCAATCTGATCCCGCAACGAAGTGCCAAACGAAGTCATACATCCCTGAAATGCTTTCTTAGGCAACACAACAATTGAATGAACAAATAACATTGAACTAACGTCAGGCATGGAGGTCAGACCAAGGTCAAAATCAACCTATTGTATTACTTTGGGGCTTGCTTTTTGGTGTAGTTTCTGGTGCTTATTCATTTTGAAATTATTGATAACAGGAACCATATTACACACCTTCCATAGACTTCTTAATGGTCAGAATAGGTCACTGATCTAGAATGACCCAGGTCAACATTTTGCTTCTAGGAACATGCTGCCTAGCGCAATATTTGTCGCCTATTCAAATGCAAAACTCAAAGCGGTCTTGCGTAACTTTGGTCACCATGACCCTCCAAGGGTCAAGCGAAGTCACTGACATTAGATGGACATGTGATCTTTAACTTGGAAAAACTATCTAGGTTCCAGGGGGCCTTTGGAGGCCAGTCTGAAATTTGACCTTGTTTGGCCTTATTTGACCTGGAGGTCATAACCTAGGAACCTAAGTCTTTGACCTAAGTGAGTTCACGTATGTCAACACACCCCGTGAATTTGGTGTCTCCAGCTCCCTTAGTTCTTGAGGTCTCAAGGGATCAAATTGCCCCCCACCCGAGCGAAGGGCATCAAACCGGCCACCCTGGCGCGTATTAAGTATTATTATTAATATTGCTACTGTTATCAATGCTATTTTTTTAGTTTAAGTCATCTTTAAGTCCTAACATTTGACAAAATTTTGTCGATACTTGGGTTTATCAAACATTATAGCACAGGCTTGTATGCGTTCGAGGTAACGTTTTGGTACCTATTGACAGACTATAAAAAGTTACATTTTTGCAAACGCCTGCCCACGAGGATGGGCAAATTCAAAGCGGATGATGGTAAGGGGGAGGGGGAGCACTGGTTGCACGAGCTAGTTCATCAGAGACTGAAGGCGTCCCTCTTGGCGTTACTCTAGGACGCCGAGAGCGTTCCACTAAGGCAGCGTCCTTAAAGTGGCGCCCAATGGCGGATCCACCGGGCCAACCAGGCCATGACCTCCGGCTAAAATAGACAAGCTTGACAAAAAAATGACGCGTGCATGGGCTTTGAGGAAAATCGAAACGGTTTTTACCAGTAGATTGTTTTAAACACCTTCAGGTAAAAGGAGGTAAAATCCATGAGGTGTTGAAGATCAGGACACCAATTTCCGTTTGTCCCTAAACCGGGGATGCCCCACCCTCAGGCTGCGGTCTGGATTCGCCATTGAAGGGGCCCGGTACAGAGCAGAACGGGCGGGGTGCCTCATAGCCATTTAACGGAGTGTCCCACTATTGGAGCGTGTTTCAGAGACATACCCCGGTGACCTCTTCGTACCTGTAATTAATATAAATAGCACTGGGGAGTGCAACTATAGCGCCCAAAGCTGCTCCAGGCATTGGACAGAAAGCCGTATCAACGGCTAAAAGGGCAATCATGTAGCTTGAAAACATGCCCGCAATCTAAAACGATGCTTAGGAAGAAAAAAAAGTTCCAATCCCTCGGACTGCCAGCTATGCAAATCACAAACGTTGATCATTACTGACGTTGTTCACACTAATACAAGTCGGAGAACAATCTGACCAGAACACTTCAGGGGTATCAAGGAAGGGCCTGAACGCTAGTGTTCGCAGGCTGCTTTTTTGGAACAACAATGCTTCGCCACCACTCATGCAGTCAAGTTGAAACGCAGGAACCTACTGAACCGATTTTCTCCAAACTAACATCAATCAAAAGTGAAACTGTGTTTGCATCGACTGTCCTTAAACTGACGACCCCCGGTCACCGTCCTCACTTACACAAACCGTATAAACCACTGCAGGGTAAGGCAGCCAAGTCCAAATGCGGAAACCGCTGAGGTGATCTTCTCGAAGCCTTTGCCAGGAGAAAGAACAATGACGATTTTGTCAGGAAATCTAAAGCTGGGTCTTCCGAAACTAACAGCAGTGCCAAAATGTCAAGGACACCCGTCCTTGTAGATGAAGATGGTGACCTAAGACACAGAGCCACACTAAGCCACACAGACGGAGGCACCTCGGGGCGCGCTCCCACGTACCCGTTACTGACCGTCGGACGGGCCACACAGACGGAGGCGCCTCGGGGCGCGCTCCCACGTACCACTCTCGGGGCGTCGGTTCTATTGTGCGACGCGCTGGTGACTGAACTACTGGACCGCCTAACACCAGCCAAGTCCCGGAAAGGGTCCATGGTGAACTTCGGTGTGACGGCCCCTACAGTGGGCCAAAACACGTTATTCGTCTCTAGTTTGATTTGTTGGCAAGCTACCGGTTATCCGCTGGTGTCCTACGTGTGACCTAGGCGGACGATTACTTTGGCCGACATGTCGTTCGAGTAGTCTTGTGCTTTTCCTGCACATCGCACGCCAAGTGAGCTCATGTCTAAATCGCCCGCATTGCACTTGTGCAATCACGGGTTTATTCAACCTGACACATAAGTCTCAATAAGGTACGAACACAGCCCCTCAAAGCCGTTTGTTCTTTCCTGCTACTTCTTTAGTTGATACTAAAAGCTCCATCAATGCGTCAAAATCAGGCGCGATGCTTGACACCGCGACGTTTGAACAGTGGTGGACAGGGGTTGCAGCTTTGAATGGTTCTTGCCCTGCGACGCCGCGAGGTCAAATGGACTGAGACGCGTTTTCAGGGCGAAAGTAAAGAAATAGCCCAATGCCCGATTCAGGTTGATAGATACCAACTGACTGAGGCACCAATCAAAGCACGAAATAAATAAAGTGATCATTTTAGATTTCTAACTGTCAGCATATGGCCATTCTTGTCCCCTGCCATGTCGTTAATACTACATTTGCCACAGTTCCGTAGACCTTTGCCTCTCCTCTTCACATCCGCCGGCACTCATTCACTTCATCAGCAACCGTATGACGGAGGACCTGTTTTCTCTCCCCAGCCCCACGGCAGCGTGACCATGCGGTCACGTGACGTGGTCTAGGCAGTGGTCTCGACCACTGCCTAGTCCCGACCAAGCGCACGTGCCTATGGTACATATGCCCTGGCACGAAACGCATAAGACTGAGCTGCGACTGGGACGACAGCTAGGGTCATAACCCAGACATATGTGAACAAGGAACTCTAGACTGCCGCAAACGATCAACCCCGCACACCCAACCTTGGCGGCGTGACTAGACTGGATTGGATGCACTCGTGCGTCCACCGATCCTGGTCTCCGAGCAGCAGCCATGATCAGCGGTGTCGGATGATCCCGCCTGGCAGACGACCACGCCACCTGTCGAACCATCACTCGGAGGGAGTCTTCGGATCGCTGTCGGGCCGCCTCTTCCATCGGGACACGCACCAGAGCGTCTCGTTCTGACAGTCACGCACTCCGACAACAGGTCAGCCTTGTCACAAATGTATTCGATACAAATTACTAAAACACAGTAAAAACGCATGGGCGGAGAACAAACGCCGCGGAGAGACCCGTATGCCTGCCGGGCAGCCGTGGAAGTAAGGACAGTCACCGCACGTCGTGGGCGAGTTCGAAGCATCTGACTCAGGCACAGAGATGACCGGCGCCACCGCACCTGTGTATCACATGTAAGACCACCAGGTACAACAAACGACCGCCGCAGCGGAGACGCATTCGATAGCGGGATGGGGGAGGAGGGGGAGGGGGAGGGGGGGGGGGGGTATAGCGTGACGGCCGATACCGCTGAGCAGCTGTCAGAGAACGGAGGCGCGTTGACCGCTGACCACCCCACAAAGCCTTTCAGCCGTAATTCGCGCGGCGTCAGGGACCTCCAGAAGCCATCGCATACGGATACGCGTCACCCCTAAACCCCGCCGTTGTCGACAAGCTGTCACCCAGCTTGTCGTCCCCGCCATGCACCGCTTGGAGGCGGCGGGCGGTTGGGCGGCTGGCCGCTTCGAGACCCAGCCGACGCCCGCCGCCATCCGAGCTCAGGTCAGGTCAGATCAGCGGGGTCCCGTGCCCTGCGACAGCCGGAAGGCCAGTTCCAGCATGTCGGGAGGCGTGCTGCCCGGCACGCAAACGAACAGCTGCCGACGCGACATCTGACGGCTGAAAAGGAAAACACGCTCAGCCTGGCTAAGCGGTAGGCGGCGGACCGAATGTGTAATGCGCGAGGAATATGAAATACGCGACGTGCTCTTACAAGATGTGTTCAAATTTCAAAGCGTTCTAGACGACAAGAATACACGCTTTAATGCCAAGAGAACGCTCTTCTAGCAACAATAGAAGCATTGATAAAATGACCACATCAGCACATGACACGTGCGAGACAAGTGTGGCTGTTACAAACAAGCAGCACCGTATCTTAACGTTATCTGAAATTCCGCACAGTCCAATAAGTGCACATAACTCCAATCCTCAGGACAATAACGTTCGTATAATCTCACCCGTGCCTAACAACTTGGTAATGGTCTGCTTTTCCGGGAGATCTTGGAGCCTTAGAAACATCGTGCTAAGCGGATATTTCTATTTTTGCTCAAAACAGCTCGCATTCTGGGCTTAGAGCAGCCTAAACCAATGCATTTATTACAAAAAAGTTTGTATTCGAGGCTTCAATCGCATTGCGATTAAAGTCACACAGAAAACAAATTTGGTGATCGGGATATCCGTTTTCTCACGCAATGACATCGGACAATGGCAAGGTCCGCTGATTAAATGAAGCTGGTGTGTGAAAGGCACTAATGTACGATCGAGTCATTCAAATTGTAATACATTATAACCACTGACCAATACCAGGAAAAGGTAAGCAACATCAGGCAATGAAATACAGTAACACCGTATACATACGGCATCGCCTATCAAACCTCAGTGCGCCTGGGAGAGCCGGGTCATCGCACCACCCACTCACCCGACCACCCAGAAGGTCTGGCCGTCCTGGCCGTCCAGGCTGAAAAGGGTACCGACCTCGCGAGGCGCCCCCTCGGCCGGCGGCTCCGCAAGGCCGCTTTCCTGGAACGCGTCCCGCCGTCAGCACCAGTCCCACTGCGCACCCTGGGCCAGCATTAGCGAGGGGCCCGCCATCATCCCCACCACCCGTCCCCGGTCAGCACGGGCGGGGAGCCCCCCCCCCCCCTCCGTCATCCATCAGCACCACTCCCCACACCAGGCCAGCACGAGCGAGGAGCCCCGCCGTCAGCCGCCAGCCGCACCACCCCTTCTCGGTCAGTACGAGTGCGAAGCACCGCCGTCATCCATCAGCACCACTCCCCACACCTGGCAAGCACGAGCGAGGAGCCCCGCCGTCAGCCGCCAGCCCCACCACACGTCCCGGTCAACACGAGTGCGGAGCACCGCCGTCATCCATCAGCACCACTCCCCACACCGGGCAAGCACGAGCGAGGAGCCCCGCCGTCAGCCGCCAGCCCCACTACCCGTCCCGGTCAGCACGAACGGGGGGGGGGGGGGGGGGGCGTGAGTCGGCAAACCCAACACGGCCGACCGCGCAACGCGGGAGGGCTGGTGTTTTAATCCGGAGCTTCAATGGCCATGAGCTGTTCACGGGTGCAGACCGGGCATTTATTCGCTGTCTTCACGGCCGGTGCCGTGGCAAGCTGCCCGCCCGCCAACACACGCCACTGCACGTCTAGACATACCAACACCAGCCACCGCATATCTAGCACCGCACGTCATGTGCTGTCCTGAGCGACCTCACGGCGGCGAGCAGGCGTAGCAGCAGCGGCCGCCACCCACCTCAGCCGGCGGCGCCAGCAGCCGCAGCAGGCGCGCCACGGCACTGTTGAAAGCTGCCAGCAGGTCGGCGCGCACCCAGGTGGCCAGCAGCGGCTCCGGCAGTGCCAGGTAGGCGGCCGCCTCCACGTCCAGCCAGACGTGCTGCAGCGCCAGCGAGAACGCGTCCGGCACCACCCTGGCGGGGGCGGCGGCGTCAGCGGTTGACCGGCCTTCGGGTTGTGGCTGAACACCCGGGCTCGGCTGCAGGGGGCGCGGCGCGGCGGGTCGCAGGGCCGGGCGTGCGACACGAGGCAAGGGACAGCGACATCGCGCGAGAACGGCACGGGAAGACGCGGGAGGACGCGTGCCGTCGCGGCCACCGCACCCAACTGAACGCGCTGGAGATGTTTCCAGGCGGCAGCATGCGTACACGCCCAGACCGGGGCACCACATCTAGACCAAATCATTGAGCAAAGGTGACCATTCCACTTTGAGAACTACTTTACGCCGGATATCACGTCTGCGGCTACTGACGGCGCCCTCCGCCCTGACGACTCTCACGACGATTACGAAAGACCGGTCCGCGGCTCAGGATCGAGCCCACAACATGCTGTACTGTGCTGGCGGGCGCTCCAATGGACTGGACTGCCTTGGCCCGAGGAGACACAGCCACCGCAAACACACGAGCGCATGGCCGAGCGGGTCATACGCTGGAAGGACAACAGGCTCGTTGAAGCACGCATTGATGTCCCGTCGCCAAGCCGTCCCCTGGGAGGTCACCCGGTCCGCAGACACCGTGCACGGTCGCAAATGTACAGCTACCAATGTCGCAATGCGCCATTCATCAATATTCAGAGCAGCACCCCAGAAATGGACATGTTATTCAGAGCGTGGCATAATGGTTGGACGGCTCAACATATTTCCATCGTGAAGCCGTAACCGAGATCGCAGCTCTGTAACTTGACACAGCGAAGGCTACGTTACGGCCCGACGCACAGATTCAGAACCAAGAAAAGTGAGCTTTCGTCAGGGCCCACAGGCGCCGTCGAGAGACATCCGCGGAAATCGGAGAGCACGAGTACCACCAGTTGTACAAGTTGTATGCTGGCGGTCCAGATGCGTGTTGAAAGGCAGCTGCATCGGCACTTCACACATTCCCGTGCCTGCAGAAATGTGCCCATGCATTTCTACGGAGGCAAACCCTGCAACCGCACGCGCATACCGGCACATAACACCCAACGTCGTTAAACACCTACCTCCGGGAATCTTCGAGCGCTTGACCCATGTATATTTTCTTGTTCTCCATCAAATCATACTGATTTGGTAAAAGGCGGCTCGTCGGCGGACCCTGTAGAAAACAAACGCAATGAGCGCCAGAAACTTGTTGCGCTGCTCACTTCCCCGAACGGTGGCATGCAACAGCGCTGGGAATTCTCCAGGTAGGTGTCCTCAGCAGGACACATTTACTGAACCCCAATGTATACATAGGCTCAAGCAACACAAAAGCAGGCAACTGTGCCACGGTCCCATTGCTTCCACATTCGTTACGCATAAAGTGTGTGCGAATTACAATTGAACATGCCATATACACACGAAGTTATTACGTTGGGTGTATACAATTAATCGACAATCAGAATCATTCACCTTAATATGGGTTTGGAAGTGAGTTCACACGCTTGTAGGATTCAACAGTCTAGGCAAACAGATTCTTGAGGCATGGGGCGTTGACACGCGCCCGGTCAGCCGAATGAATACCACGCCAATCGGGTGGGGATAGGGGCGGAGGGTGGGAGGAGGGGCGCCGGTCTATTTGACCCCACCTGAGATCTCAAAACCTAAAGGAAGTTCGAAACACCAAACTGATAGGGCGGCTTGAGGCCTACAGGTGAATATACCATATATAGTAGTACAAAATAACTAACAATATTAGCATTTATATAACATACAACTTGAAGCCTATTTGCGAATTCGATCGCGTCGAATTTTGAGGTCTCTAGGTTATAACCTTCGGATCAAATAATTCAAATAAGGTCACATCCAAAACGGTGTCCGCGGTTCCACCCGACCTTATGCAACTACCTTTAACCTAAGCACCTCTACTAAATAAAAGGAAACGGGTGATCATTTCAAGTCCGTGACCTCACTTTACCTTCAGGTCATGGTGGTCAAATACCTGGGAGGTTGATTTGATTTTGAATTACAATAAGCGTCAAGAATTACGATATACGGTATGTCCTACAACTAAGGTTAATCGCGGTAATTCAAGGTCACTGAGCTAATCTCGCCTTCAAGGTCAACTTACACTTTTGTTGACCTTGTGATCAATAAATTCTAAAAGAGCGTCAAAAGCTACGCGGCAAAGGAAAGCATCTAGTAAAAACATTGAACACATAAATCGGGTACAACTTGGCTTGAGCATCGACCTGGCATTCATACCTGACCCAAGGTCAATGGCATTATCGTCTCCTAAATTCAGTTATCTAGTTGTCAAAAGGCTATCATACACATGCATGGTTTGGTCTAACACTCCGTTTTCGCGTCAGATCGAACGATTTCCTTGGAATTCCTCTCGCTAGCAGCCGTGGGTTGACTTTGGCCTGCCATAAGTCGACGATCTCATCAGATACATCTATTTTCATACTTGACAGATCTGCGATTTGATTGGATGCAACTAAGCAGAGATCAGCGCGGTTCCACCGCGCCGTTCGGAAGCCCTTTTGAGAAAAAAAAAACATTCGGAGGAGGGAAACTGATCCCCATCCGAGCGCGTATAAGGGTTTGAATTGTATGATATTTAAAAGAAGTTGAATCTGATCAAAAAGGTTACAGTTTGACATTGGATGACATAACACTGCGAGTGCAACTAGAACAACGATAATGCACTTCAGATTGATCGAGGTACAACAGCAGTCTAGAAAACCAATTTTGGTGCATGCAAATCGAGAAACTTGCGTTACTTGTCACAGCTGAGCAAAACGCCATCATGATCACCAGAGCAAGGCGGCAGGCACGTTAGTAGTCATAGATCATGAACCAGAAAGACAGTATCCTGATTTTCATAACATATAACACTGATTTCAACTCAGCTAACCAAAATCTAGCAGTGCGCTCAAAAACATCCGAAAACTTTTTCAATTAGCGGAGGCTCTGAGACTATTTTCAAGGGCGGGAATGAACCACCGGATGCGTCAAAAGGCCCTGAGCTGCGACCTCTCCAGATGGTGCGGGAGTCCGTGTGAACGGCAGCCAGCGCGTACCCGGTATATCTCCCAGGTGTCAGCCGCCGAGCCGTCCGTGGAGCCGCTGCCGTCCTCAGAGTGAGAACACCTGTGAACAGTCACAACCATGAAACCACCGGCCACCACGCCCAATGCTAGTCCAGCTGGCAACAACAATTGCCTGGTACTCATCGGCCTATGAATTTTACGAACAGGGGTCGCTGGTTGAAGGTTGATGGAAAATTAGATGACCTAGCCCAAGGCAGCAGTAAGCATGTTAATTCTAGATCTTAAAACTTAACCTTTCAGGTGCCAGGTTCCATATCCGGACTGTTTATCCGGGCAAATCACAACTCAGGGACGCAGCCGGGGGAGGGGAGAGGAGGGGCCAGCCCCCCCCCCCCCCCACACACACACCTTGAGCTAAGAGGCATGCACTAGACACTGAGCGATTTCACATGAATTTGGCACAAATTCAGAGAAATTCGGGGGAAATCTTAAGTTCTCTCCAGGGGGAACAATCCGGAGACGTGTCTGTTCTACCCATCTAGATAACTTTTGACGCGGCACGGGCGAGGTGAAAGCAGACGCAATTTGCCTGGTTCACTTGTGCACCCGGCCCGGGCGTCGTGCCACATGTGCATGCATTGTCAATTTAACTATGGCCTTTCCCTGCATTCAGTGACGGCAGCGATCCTCTGGCCAGGTCAATCTTGTCCGCCATTGCATGCCATGACCGTCAGAAACAGTGTGCGCAGCGATTGCCCGTTATAGCGCGGCCGGTGGGCGGTTCTCGCCTCTTGTAAACGCCCAGAAGTGGTTGTCCATTGGTGGCTCCTTGTGAAGCTCGGTGTGGCAAACGCGGTCTGGCAGTGTTTGATACCAGCACGGCTGATTAGCTACACTTCGTTTAGCATTGGCATGGGGATGCTGGTACATTTCCGGTCAGGTTGCCGATCTATTTGACAGAGTAGTAGTGGCTCCTTTGAGAGTCGTCATGGCAGGTAGTGGGTCAGTTATACATTTTAGAAGGCTCGAGTAATAATGTTCAAAGGGGTCGGCACCCTCGTAGGTGGCTGGCTATTATTTTGTTTGTGTTTTTTTTTAAATGTCGCTTTTCTGTTCGTTACATTCACAGCACGCACATGCACGACCCGGGCAACGCCTTGGTGGCAACACGGGTCTTGCTCCGGTCACGGGGTCCAGGTCGGGCCAAGGGTACGCGTAGTAGCATGTAGCGTGGCTCGGGAGCACGTCATTACGCTCTCGTCACGTCACGTCATTACGCTTTCGTTGACCAATCCGCTGCCAGCGATCAACTTCGGCGAGCTGTTGAAATGTGCTCGCGATCGCTACATCAACGGCGTCAGACGGCCGACTCAGTCACATGTGCAGGATCGTATCCCTCGTAACACGCGGACACGTCCCCCCCCCCCCTTCCGCAAAACACCCAACCAGATGTCATATTTCATTTTCACCGTTGATGTCAAATATTTGGCCACTTGGGCGGACGCCCAATTTCTCATTCTCTGTGAAATTCGAGGAAAGATGAAAGCCACACTTGTTTGAGGTCAGCGAGGAGTTCGTCTTAAAACGTTCGCTAACCCAGTCGGCACGGACGCGCTTATAATACAGCTGTACTGTCAGGGTTCTCTGATCATGAACATACTAATCCAGACACAGTGAAAAATCACTCATTTCAATCAAACGCTGATATTTTGGATTATCCTGTCCACGTCACTTCCATTCAAAAATGCCCTGAAATGTGCATGAATGATACCGCATGACTATAACGTGTCGGATCCCAGGAGCCACGGCATTGCTCCCTCGGTACGTCCACTCTGGCCACATAGTAAGCCCCTCCCAGCCGTAGTAACCCAGCCATCGTGGGGCCACATAGTCACCCCCTCCCAACTTCTGGCCATCGACCACTTCAAAAGGATAGTCCATCGACCACCTAACAGCAATGTTCCGACCTTTGTGAGTTAAAACGACAAGGCACACGTTACTCAGCCATGTCCACATTTTGGCAGGATAAAATATTGGGTTGTGCTGCGTCATGACGTCACATTCAACCGATCGTCAACCAGCAGCGGTGGCTCGAACCGGACAGTTGGCCGCCGGTGTCGTTAGCCCTGGTCAAGTGACGCTACAAATAACCTGCTTTGGAATAATCCCATTAGTGCATTGTATCGATGTCGGAAAACTGGAACATTGGCTGGTGTCCTGGTGTATGGCGCAGTTCACTACCTCGGGATGCAGATAGCTCAGCGGCGCGTCCAGAGGGTGACGCGATATGAATCGACTTGACGTGACAAGCCACCGATAGCACGCCTTCCACCTGGTTACGAACACGGTCCGTGTTACGCATAAACAGTGACCGGTATTTCAGTAACATTGCCTCAGTCAAATCCATCAAAAGTTTATGTGCTGGGGTTAATCTGACCATCGACCCGGGCGTTTGTATTCCAAAGCGACGCTAGCAACACCGTACACGAATATTCGCGGTCCACGATACCGGGAACTTTGCGCGCGTCAATTTACATCAAATCACGGACTTCGACAGTACAGTGAATACGACGCATCCACACTTGACGCCAGGCATTTGCGCTAACGGGAATCGGCTGCAGCGAGTCTTCAACTGCAGGTGAGACGGACGACGACAGACCGCCAACCAACGCCCAGCAGCGCAGCCGAGTCGGCAGCGGCCGGTGAAAACAGCGGAGCATGGCAACGATGCAACGGAAGCGTCAGCACCGATAGCCCCAGGTCCCTGAACATCTGACTGTGCGTATTGGTGCGCTTCATCGACATCTGCGCGTGTCAGCTACGCGGAACGCGAGCATTCACCAGCGGCCGCTGCCGACTCTCGCCGGCCCCTACGAGTCCGAGTCGGGAGAGCTGGCCGCCGAGCTGCTTTGAGAGCCGCCTTCGCCGTCCTCGGGGTTCGGCACCTGATCCTCCTCTTCTTCATCCTTCTTGCGCCGCTTGAGGAAGAACACGAGCAGGAGGCAGAGCAGAAGCGCCAGCAGCACGCCGGCCACGATGAGACCGACGAGGCCGCCGGTGCCGCTGGCCGCCGTCAGCGCGCCGGCCGCGCCCGTGGCCGTTATCAGGCCGTCGGACGGCGTGGTGCCGTTCACGGACAGATGCGACGCGTTCTTCACCTGAGGATGGCGGAACGTGGCAACTACCCGGAACTGAGACGTCAGCACCGACAGCTGCGGGTCCTTGAACGTCTGACCGTACGCACTGATCAGCGTCATCGACATCTGCGGGTGTCGGCTGCGCAGAACGCGAGCATTCTCCAGCGTCTCGTTGTTGACAAGTGAGGACGCACACTCGCAGGCCAGTGGACCCCGCTTGCTGCCGCCCCACAGCAGTCGGTGGCCCCTCATACAGTCCAAGGTTTCCAGGTTCTCGATAATCATCTGCTGATGGGAGACCACTTTCGGACCGATGTCATCAAATGGAAGGTACATTGTGATGCTTGGTAAGACGGATGGGTCTTTGGGATTGACTATTATGTTCACAAACACAAAGTACTTGAAGTCTTTGTCGGTTGCCTCAGACTTGGGCATGGGCTTCATGTTCAGGGTTCGAAAATCATAGTCTTGATCCGCCGATACTTGAATTTCGTACACGCCTTCCTTTACCGGAAACATTGGTCCGGTTTTTTTGTCACAGCTCTCGCCAGAAAAACCCGGCGGGCACACACATTTGCAGTTCTTGTCAATGTGACCAAAGTTTTTACACTTCGGGACCTGTTTGCCATTCTTCTTGCAGCTTGATGCCCACTGAGCCGGACAATTGTACAAGATGTTGACGACTAGTTTATCATAATACGTGGGCGGTATGCGTCCAAACTCATGATAATCCAGAAGGTACTGATAGCGAGGGTCCACAGTCACAAAGACGGGTGTGCTTTCAACACTGTCTGCGAAGTCCCGGGAGCTAAACATAAGAGTGGAGGCGTAATCAAACGGAGTGGCATGCATCGGAGTATTATTAAAGCAACCAAAAAAATTCCGAATCTGACCCTTATAAGATCCCAGTTGATACGCATCCATCGGCGGTGAAAAGTTTTCAACATTAGTGTGGACAAATTGTGAGGAATCCCGTCGGTATACGTACGATTTCACCCCGCTCATGCTCATGATTATTTTATGCACCGTGTTCTCGTCGCATCCGCCAAGGCCGGCTTTCTGGCAGGTGTGTGCATCGCCGCCAGTAGGCCCAAAACAATAGCCTTCCGGATCTGTTGCAAGATATATGACTGCAGATGAAGGATGCGCGTCGCCCTCGCATACTTTTCTTGGTTCTTTGACAAATTTCAGGCACGTTGAATCTGTCCACAATTTCACAACCCTTCCAAATAACGCCTGGGATGCGGTGTCATACGAAGATTGATACGCGTATCGGATCGGCCTTGTCTTGTTGTGGGCATCATTAAATAAGGCAGAACCGTACGCGAACCGGGCACTCACGCTCATTTTTTCCACTTTGTCGGACAGCGTCAGTTTTCTTAAAAGCAGAACTTGCGTTTAATTGAGGACGTTTTGCACTGCGTTTTCCTTCAAAACCAATGCCGTGCGGCTTCAGCATCGATCTTCCCGGCTGCTCTTGACTTTAGAAAAATATAATGACAGTTGACGAATGCAGTACACTGTAATCACATCAGAGACTGATCTTTCAAGATGACATTACGGCAAACATTTTACGAGCCTGCAAACACAACACCTGAAAGTGCTGGCAGAGGAACAGCATCGTTTGCAGAACGGCGTTTTTGGTTTTCAATAAATGCGTTCAATCTTGAAGAAGTGTACACTAACTTTGAAATTAACTGCCGAAGGGAAAATGGACCAAATAGTTTTCGCATCAGTTATTATAAATGCAACGTAATTTGGCGCTGCATAGCCTGAATGACAGATAAGAAAAATTCGTTTAAAAAATGGGTCGAAACTTTCGCGACGTAAACGGATGGAACGAAGTCAAACAGTTAAAAGCAAATTCTCCGTTCAGAGTTTGAATCATCGGAAATTGCATAGTAGGAGATTTGATATAAATTTGCCAAGCTCGTGCAATGCGTCAGCCGAAGCTTTCATCCAGCAACGCGCAGCTTTTCATAGTTGCAGCCTATATACAGCCTGTACTGTAGTAATACTGCACGCTTATTACACACTACAATGTCAATGTCAGGCCTACGTTGATGAGGGTTTCAGCGATGGCCGATTTCCAGCAAAAACAAATATTTAAACCATATACATATATATATATATATATATATATATATATATATGTATGAAACATCATATATATACGGGTTTATCGGGACAGCATTACCAGCCATTACATCCAGCATCATGGTCCTTTTTTGCAATCAAGGATACAGTCTATCGTTAGTTTCCACGCGGCAGGCTTAGACTTTGAAGATGCCATACCACAAGTTTGTTTGGCCAAACCCTACTGCCTCATAGCTACAGCAAACAAGTATATTTTGTGATTTTGGTGCTTTCATTCAAAATGGGGATCATAGGTCAGGGTTGTAAATAAATGTCCTGTTGCACTGTGGCGTGAAGATAAGGGGACTTATCGTTCAAGTGGCGTGAGGATAATGGGACTTATCGTTCAAGTGGCGTGAGGATAATGGGACTTATCGTTACCAGCAATGGGCCATGACAATCCCCTGCTAAATCAAATGATATTTAACTTAACGGTTTTTTAAATTGTGGCTGATGCAAACCTCCTCGTCATAATGTACCATGAATCTCACATCCGCATCCGCAAAAAGACATATACTTTTGTAGAACAAGTATTTCGAAATGGTACCACGCGAAGGCCTACCGCAACTGACGGCAAGATTCGTACCACAATAGGAAACATGCCACAACACAGCAGCATTGCGCCTTGACGGCCCTCCCCACCAAAATGCGCACAAAGGCGATCTATTGCAAGCTGCTGACTGATGCCCCAATGACCCAGCCAACGACGGGCACAATGCTTCGCCTCCATCCATTCAGCGAATTTGAAATTCAGAAGCCGCCGATGTACCGTTTTCATCCAAATTAAGAGACCAAAGCGAACACGCGATAGCATTACCCGCCCTGACGATGATGGCCATTAGTCACGACCTTTACCTTACAACCCGCTAAGCCGCTTAAGGACACTGCCGCCAAGTCCAAACTCGAAAACCGCAGGATCGATCTCCAGAAAGCCATTACTTGTGAATACAACTCCTACGATTTCATTGCAAACCCCGAAAGTGGTGTCCCCAGGCCCGCCACCTTCACTTCCGAAAACTCGAGCACAAAACTTTGGCGCATTGCAGCCAAGATGAAACTCGGCAGCCGACCAACTGATTCCCCCGAAGCAGTATCACTGGATAGAGCACACGCGACTTCTCCATCTATTCAGAAAGTCGTTGTCTAAGGTCAACACATTCACCTTCAAAAGAAAATTGAAAAATCTTCATGACATGTCATCGGGCGGCCATGATCACCGCAGACCGCATCGCCCGACTTGGGGCAGGAGTGGTTGCTGACTCGTTGCTCGGGAAGAGAGCTTTTGACCCGAGTCCTGTTGCGACTTAGGTCAAGTTTTCTGATCGTCTTTTAACATTCCGTTTTGCATGGTAAAGTGTTACAGTCCCTTAGTTCTTTAACACGTCAACCCTAGTGATGCTCGCTCGTCTCAGGCACACGCATTAAGATCTGGAAGTACTGAGTGCGCCGCACCAAGCCATACCGACACGCGCTCGTCCACGGTCTCCGCATCTACCTATGCAGAGTTTGACACAACCCACTGGTAACTCCCGCCCGTCCTCTTACAGCGCCCGGCCAGGGCAGAATTCCGAGTTAACCTGAACTCGCTAGGCCCGTGTGGTGGGGCTACAGAAAAAAAAATCGTTTCGTTAAATCAAGGTGATGAAGCCTTCTGAACATTTCCAATCTGCACCGCTCCCAGTTGAGATTCCGGGTAACGCAACGCTCGGCGTCAGAAACAAAAACGAGACCGTAGACCAGTGCACTGTTCCAGATCCCGGGAGTGCTGCGGAAACCGATCTCGGAGGCCCAGACCCAAACCACTACGGCGATGTTACAGTCAAAGCTGTGCGCACCATATCAGACGTCCGACACACGGCGAGACCACACATGAGGGATTCCCCGAAAGTGCTTCAGCTACAGCAGTGATGACCACAGCGCAAGACATGCCTCAGCCGCGACTGCGCTGACAACAGCGCAGAACGTGCCTCGGCCTTGGCAGCGCTGACGACAGCGCAGGACATGCCTCAGCCGAGACAGTGCTTACCGCAGCACAGGCCCATCGCAATGCCGGGTTTGACAAAAAGAAAAGGAGGCTGGCTCCGAGACAGCAAAAAAAAAGAAGAAAAAAAGAAAGAAACAAAAACAAACGTGTGTCGTCCAGCCCGCGCATCGCACTGCTAAGGCAAAGGCATTCCCAGTCTCCTTCAGCAAACACAGGCAGCGAACGCCACAGCGCCGACGTGTGGTACTCAGGAAGATTCCATCCTGCAGCCAACTCTTCTCAGAAAGCTATCGCTTCTCTCAGCTCATTCCCGACTCCTGGCCCGAAACAATCTACTGATAATGCTCAGAAACGAACACCTTATACTGTCCACGCCATAGAGTTCAAGATTCCGAATTAACTTTGTCTCAATGGTGACGCGAAACAGTGACTTAAGTCCAACAGCATCCATGAGAAATTTCGTTTCTGCTGACACCACGTAACTCTAGGTCAGTAACAGGGTCGGAGTCGTCCGACTCCAATGGAAGCTGTAGGAGCTGTACAGTGCGCTCAAGAACAGGTGGATACTAAAAGAACGAGCTAGCTTCTCGTCCGTTAACTGTTCAATGTGAGCCAGGGATGGTGCGAGTGAGATGCATCTAAAATTCGTCGCGTCTCTGAGGGAGTCAGACGCCTTGCACGGGAGTTGGACACTGCTAGTTCACATGCCTTAGGAACGACGCCGGTAACCAAACAAGTCTGGATACCGCAAAGTACACGGACAGAGGGGGCCACATCCCCTAAATAATGACTTTCACGCACACCGTCGGCGCCGGGTTTCTTCCGTCGATGTCATGCGTCGCGGTGTCACGCGGCCTCGTGCCGCTCGCCGTCTTTGATAGCCGGGCGAAGCCGGCCGCCCCGCCCGGCGGCACAAGCCAGCTCCGCTGCGGCCATGACATGGTCAGTCCCAAGCTCACGCTCCGGCAAACGTTTGTTCGGGCTGGCATGGCAATGTTCGGCGCGCTCTTCTGTTCCTGCCCCAGCAGCAGTGTCTTAGGCAGGGTGGACTGCACGTTGCGAGCGGTCACGGCCGGCTCTTCGCTGCACCCGTGGCCGCACGTTCGTCAGCGGCCCTGTTCGTGCCTGCACAGCCGGCGAGCTCCACCCTGAGCGCAGGGCGAGGCCAGCGATCGATCGGTTCGCCCGGGCACGGCTGGTGCCATTCGCGCCTGAGGCTTGCGGCACAGGGCGAACTGGACGACACAGAGCGGCAAACCGAGCCTGCCGCGCCCTGACGGGACGAGGAGCGGTGTGTCGGAGTCCGTGCTGATGATACTGGCGTTCGACGATGGCTGGGTGTCCATGACGACGATGAGTCGTTGGGAGGGTGGCCGACACAAACACTCAACACGACCGGAAATGAGATATCCGGCTGACGCGATGCACTTTCCTCTTGAAATGACTGCTTGCTTGTTCACACTGACAGTGCGCTGTGCCTAGATTGAGTCGCACGTTCATTCAACCATAAAATCGCGCTAAAAACGAGAATATGGACTCAAGGTGCACGTCCCGGGAGCGTGGCTGCACGCCGGCGCGCGTCGTGCATGGCAGACGGTTGTAGCGGCACGAGGTCAACACCTCGTCGTGTGGGTCACCAATAGGTGGCGCCAACCAGTGTTGTTGTTGTGTGTGTAACATTGTGCGTCGTGTGAAAACTCTGTGTGTCTCCATAGCTTCGCTGCACTGTTAATGTTGGGTAATGATATGAGTGATATGCCTTGCGTCGTGTGAAAACTCTGTGTGTCTCCATAGCTTCGCTGCACTGTTAATGTTGGGTAATGATATGAGTGATATGCCTACCACAAAACGATTGCTATTATAGCTATCGTTTGGCCGCTAATGGCATATCGACTACCATGACTAGACAGATGCTAGCTGCAGTTAAGTGATGTAGTCGAACCGAGCCATGTCGACGGTAATATATTGTGTGCAATCTGACAACGCAGTACTCTTTATTCTTCGTGATGCATCCCTCTCTGGACGCGTTATCCTGTCTGTCAGTCCGGGCCGGCACCACCTCAATGCCGGCACCAATGTTTCAAACCGGACCAGCACAACCAACGCAGCAGTGCTGGTTCCGGCCAATCGGCCGCAACCAGCCGGTTGGCAGCACGAGCCATGAGGTGCAGGTGATTACGCTTGTGTCGCATTGCACGGGGGCTCGGGTTGTCAACTGAAGAAAACTACGGGGCAACTACTGCCACCTTTCTCTTTCGTCGCCGAAGACAGTGACGCGCGCGACACGTCCGCCGCTGGTCTCACCACACCACCAGGTCTCGGCGGTCGTGTGACGGGGGGCAGGGAAGGATGAGGGGGCACCGCGGGCAGCCGGGCAGGGCGGGGAGCCTCGCCCCGTCCATTCGAGCCGCGTCGGCACCCGGCTGGCCCTTGCACGCTCGGTACTCACGGCTCAGACGCGGCGCCGTCTCCGCTGTTGTCGCCGTTTGAGCTGTCGGCGGCCTCCAACCGCCACACGGGGCGGGGCTCGTCCGCCGTCGCCGCCACCGCCGCTGGGGGGGGGGGGGGGGGGCACAGGGGTCACGCGATCACAGAAGCCTTGATATAGAAAACACAGACCTGAGCGTCTCGTATCCTGTATGTGACGGCCGTGAGAACTGGCCCCACCTGTTTGCAGTCAGACTCGAACCGACCTACCGGCGGCTTCCCCTGCCCCGTGGCTGCGGAACATGACGGCGCGTCCATCGATGGGCGGCATCGGCACGCAGCCAGCATAGGGCCCGCGCTACAGACAAGAGGCCCAACAAATCTTCTTAAAAACATTGCATGGGTCCAAGCTGGTCTCATCACGCCCGCATGTCTGTCCTCTAACCGCGGCTATTTTGAAAAAGAGCAATTAGTTGGCGTCATTCCAGACGCAGTATCCTACCATTACCAAAGGTCACCATAACTAACCACAGACACCAGGCACTGAGTTCTTCCCACGACTGGAGCCTCCTTGCGATGTATAGGACGCTCCTGACGGTTACGGACAACAAATCCGAAACCATCACCAGGTGGCAAACAAGGAGATTTGTGTGGAAGGCACGACAATAAACGACTGCCGCTCATCACAAGGACAGCAGAGCCGGTGTGGACGCATACGTCGAACCGGGCGCTCACGTTCGCTCCTGTCGGGCTGGTCATGGCTGAACTTGGGGTGGCGGACGAGGTCGCGCCCAGCGCCCACCAGGCGGCTCCACCAACGCGTTTCGAGCAGCACGTCTGAAACGGAGGGCGGAACGATGCATCAGAGCCGCTCTCGTCTCCATGGTGACGCCCGGCACGGCGGGCACAACACTCCGGGGAAGGCCGGGCGAGCACCACAACCCGGTGAAGGCCGGGCAAGCACCACACTCCGGTGAAGGCCGGACGAGCACCACACTCTGGGGAAGACCATACCAGCTCTGATCGCCGCGGGGGATGGCCGGTCCGGGCCACACCAACTGCAGCGCTGTGTTCAGACTGCACCTGTGCTGCTTAAGTATTATGGGGCCCCACAGGCAATGCCAGAGTTTCTTGGAGCCCGTCCAAGGGGTCCTGGCGCCATGCAGAACAAACCCTCGCAGGCGAATACATATTGCCAGTCGGTTGGCGATTAGGCAGCGAAAGGCGGAGGGCATTTCTCCTTGCTTTTTCCTGGCACAGCTTCCGAACAAATGATAGTTACAGCCTGAAATTTCCAGTATGCATAAAAGAGTGCATTCGCTGTACTGCACCCAACTTACGTTGGGCAAGTCATTTTAGCTCACACCTAAGAGACACGTTCACCGTTATCGTATGCACCGAGTCTGACGGCCATTCGCGCTCTAAGCATCGCATGACTGTCACTCCCCCACCGGCCGCGCGATCACGGCCAGCGCATGCCACTGCGCTATCGCAGTGTAGCCAACACAATCTCACGTCCCCACAGGGAACAGAGAAAACAATGTCGTTAGGGACCCGATCTACCACAAAATCGAATGGCGTGATTCACAAACGAAAAAATCGTTTCCCTCACATCAGTTCAAACACAGCCAACACATCCAGTCGCAGTACCACGATACGGGCCACAGGCCGTGTGACATGGAGGTGCCCATTGGATTTCACATTTTTGGAATTCCAAAGACCTCCATAGTCCAGTATGGAAACTTGACGGACAGAGGCAAGCACCTTTATATTTTTTTGACATTCGCTGTCATTCGCAAATCTGTATGCTTCTGAACATGTTGAATGCTGCTCGCTTTCAAAAAGATCTGATTCTGGAACATAAACAAGCTATTGACAGATCATACTAGAACATGCTACTTCTTGAAGCATGTGATGGAAAGTTTCTTTAATGAAGAGCATTGGCAGAAAGGGCATCGATTTGTATGTCCCCAGGAGAGCCTGTGCTACTCATCCCCAACCTAGTTTTGATTCCTTATCACTAACCATCCCAATAAGCTGTCGTCGTTGAGCTTCGCAAGTCAAGCTTAGCGGGAGTCAATGTAAACTGTAAATTGTGGAGGCTTTGACGAATTCCTGAGACACACATTACCTACCGACGATCACTGCATTTGTTCTTATTCGATCCGAAGAAAAAAATATAGCGACGCTAGTAGTGGCTGAAGCCACTACTCACAATATCTACCGGCAGCCAATAACCTCATGGAGTTACTTATAGCAGGTGGATAGTTACTTGATATCTTAGAAAGAAAAACAAACTTGGAAATTTTTGAACAACTGGATATTTTGCACAATTCTTCGACGGAACGATGACCTATCTTTGGACAAAAGATTGGGTTTTGGACAAAAGCTTCCAAAAAAACGGCACCTCCGGTTTGGCACGGCATCGCAGGGCAATGGACGAGCTAGTGCGTTAAGGTCGATGTGCCAGAATCACGTACGGTGCTTCATAATGGTTACGCGGGACCTCAAAGTACCGCCGGTGTAACTGCCTCCAAAACGCCCCGCGCTGAAGACAAATTTTACAAATGCGGCAGAGAAAAACACGGACCGAATAGTGAACCAGACAAGGAACAGCACAAAAACAAAATAGAAAGTGACCTAGCGGCAAACAGTCTACAAAAACGTCAGATCACAACAGCAACAAAACAGCAGAAATGCAAAGCAGATACCATAAAAAGCCACCGAGTGGTTCTTAAACTGCGAGGGAGGCCAGCAAGTAATTTAAAACGTCAAGAAAAAAACGCTCGGGGAATATGCTCAGTGCAGCCGACGCTTACAGGAGGCTGCTACCTGATTGTAAAGGCATGATATCGAAATGTTTGACAACCATACTTAAAGACTCATTGTTGAACGAATAGGCACACAGGTGTCAATGGTTGGTTTGCTTGCCTGACCTGTATGATGGTATGCATGTGTGCTGCAAATTTTGACATTCATCAGTATGTGCGAAGCTTTGTCACTTTTACGAACGAGTTGATTAAACGCATACCAAATGTAAATTACCAAAGGATGCTGGCTACAAACACGGAGAACAGGGCTGTGCTTTCCTATTCCGTTGAGGAAGCTCTCCTCCCCAACCCGCCAAATTTGGGCTTCAGCCCAACTTTGAGAATAAAGTGGGCCAAGTCTGGGAAGCAACCAGTTTGTTGGCGTATTCTGGGGTAGCATTAATCACTTTCCAATGTTCAGTCCTCAACTCATTTCGTGATGCTGCGCCACTGCGAGCAAAAACGTGACCGAGTAATATAAAAACACCATGCTGCTTACAGCATTGGATACAACTGTTGGTCTGCTACACCATGCCCTGTTACCAACAAGCCGCAACGAAGGTACGGCATTTGCAAACTTATTGCATCGCCATCAGTAATTTATGACGCTACTTTCACCAACATGACCAATTATTCAATGAACTACGCGCACTCAATGCCAGTTCACACTTGACGAGAGAGCGAGTGTGATGGGTAAGTGTGTCTGTGCGTTTCGATTCTCACACATAAGACAACAGTATGGGCAAATCAGATGGGCTCCTCAGAACCTGAACCGATCTGCCTGGGCTGGGCTGGGCTGCAGCTGGATCGCCATCACCAGTGCGGAGTCGCCGGGGTCACCGTTGTCCGCGCTCGCTCCGCCCTTATCCCCGTCTTCCGCCAACGAGCCGTCTCGGCGTCGCCTCCCGCCACTGGGACGATGACCGGTGCGGGGCAGAGCAGCGGCGGCCGCATGAGGCCGGCATGTCGCCCTCCGATGGTGCCAGCACGGCCGCATGAGGCCGGCACGTCGCCCTCCGGTGGTGCCAGCACGGCCGCATGAGGCCGGCACGTCGCCCTCCGGTGGTGCCAGCACGGCCGTATGAGGCCGGCACGTCGCCCTCCGGTGGTGCCAGCACGGCCGCTTGAGGCCGGCACGTCGCCCCCCGGTGGTGCCAGCACGGCCGCATGAGGCCGGCACGTCGCCCTCCGGTGGTGCCAGCACGGCCGCTTGAGGCCGGCACGTCGCCCCCCGGTGGTGCCAGCACGGCCGCATGAGGCTGGCACGTCGCCCCCCGGTGGTGCCAGCACGGCCGTATGAGGCCGGCACGTCGCCCCCCGGTGGTGCCAGCACGGCCGTATGAGGCCGGCACGTCGCCCTCCGGTGGTGCCAGCACGGCCGCTTGAGGCCGGCACGTCGCCCCCCGGTGGTGCCAGCACGGCCGCTTGAGGCCGGCACGTCGCCCCCCGGTGGTGCCAGCACGGCCGCTTGAGGCCGGCACGTCGCCCCCCGGTGGTGCCAGCGCGGCCGCATGAGGCCGGCACGTCGCCCTCCGGTGGTGCCAGCACGGCCGCTTGAGGCCGGCACGTCGCCCCCCGGTGGTGCCAGCACGGCCGCATGAGGCTGGCACGTCGCCCCCCGGTGGTGCCAGCACGGCCGCTTGAGGCCGGCACGTCGCCCTCCGGTGGTGCCAGCACGGCCGCTTGAGGCCGGCACGTCGCCCTCCGGTGGTGCCAGCACGGCCGCTTCGGGCGCCGCGGCGGCGGACATCAGCCAACGGCCGGAGCGGGGAGGTGGGCACGCAGCTCTGGATCCCTGCATTGCGCACCGGACCGGCCGGTGAGCGTCACCTCCGGGCGGCGGCAGCAGCGCGGACGCGCGTCTGCTCCATACGTTCGCTGGTGACGATGGAGAGTAGCCGTGGCGGGCGGGCCTGCCGGCCGCGTGGTTGCCCGCGGCAGATGCGCGAATCAGCGCAGTCGGACGATGCGACACCCTTGATAGTCTTCGGCTGCAGCGTTGTCAGCTTGGACAGGATATTCTTGAACGGAAGGAAACGCTGGGCACCAGTGTTCTGTTTGGGTTCTTGGCACTCCAGTTCGGTGTCAATGAAGTGATAGTAGACAATGTTGGGCAGTGATCGACAAAGCACGAGGCAATAGTCTTCAACGTCAGCCCCACACATTGGCAATCCCCGGTGCATAGTACGCTCACCTTGAGCATTTCCTGCGGCAGGAAAACATGAAGTCGACTTTGGTTTTAGTTTGCTCACTTGCAGCCGCTGAAACCCACACAACAACAAGCTTCTCTTATGCATCCACATTCTTTCGTTTCGGAAGTGGTTTGCCGTTCCACAAACACTGTTGCCTCCCCCACTGCACCCAGTACTGACGGCGAAAAGATCATACTAGATCGATCCCAGACCCGCAAGCTGGCCGAAACACGACAGGCACCACACCATGAAATCGATGGTGACATTCGCCCGTCCCCTTCGTTGAGCACGAGCCTGGGCGCGGTGCGTCGGCTGCCACACACTCCATCACAGTCGGCAGCTTGCGGCAACGTCTGGGGTTGAGAGGACATCCTAAGATATGTCTGAGCCCGACGCGACTACGCCCGAGGTGTGATCATTCAGATGCGTGCCACTCCACGAACTCAGCAGAATTGTCAGAATTTTCGGCAGGGTATAGCCCAAACATGAATGAAAACAGCCACGTCAATATCCCGCACAATATGTCACTATTTCCTTCCGCCCTCCCAGATGCGCTGGTACTGGCCGTACCAACAAAACTACAGGACCATCCAGAGTCATCCATATCAGTCAACAGCCCATTTGCTGATGTTTGAGAGCAAACGTTGCCTGAGTTCTCTTTGACAAATACGACACAGGTGGAACCGCACCACAACTTGGACACATCTTGAAATGGATAAAAATCCGCCGCAGGAGAAGGCCGCCCTACGCTTGGCTTATATTTCACCTCAGCTCCACTTCTCCCGCCAAGCCACCGTCATCTCCTGCCCGTGTGGCAGACAAGATTTCGTTGAGC